CCCCGTTAGAGGAATGAAAACTGCCTCAAATGATGCAATGGGTCAACCTGAAGACAGCCACATTTGAAAAATACTGGAAATGCTGAAGTCAGAGCTTGTGAATTTGTTTGGTTTGCTGTCTTGGAGGAGAGAGAAGTTAATACTCTTAAAAGCTTGGTATTTACACTTCCGAAAAGTTTCTGCAGTTCATCCAGATTTGATAGAGCAGGATTTAAGTGCCTCTTCGTGTTCCCAGCTGGGCACTTTGCTGCTTTGGCACACAAACAGTATTCCAGTACCAATGGGATACGAGGTCTAACGCAGCTTCACGCTGGCAGCACTCCTGAGTAGTCTTCAATGTTTATCAACTGAGTAGGTCAAAAGTCTGCAGACACTGGGTGGAGCAGCAGTATGCCACAAAACTAACAGTTGTCCTCCTAGAACAAAAAAAAAAGGTGGGGGGAACAGTTGTCAGTAAAGATTAAAGCTCCTGGCCCCATTCCACAGCAGACAGTATGCTGGTTTGTAAAACACGGGATTAGCCCATCTCAACATGTCAGAAAAAGAAGGTTCATTTGCTCTACGTGAGTGGCTGATACAGAGGCAGGGAAACACTGCAGGGTTCTCAAAAACCTTCCTGGCTTCTTACATATTCAGTTTAAAGCAGCAGCCTGTGGTTTTTCTTTCTGCGGAGGGTGTGGCCGGGTGTCATAGTCAGTAGGTTTAACAGCTAACAGGAAAATAGCTGGGTAATTCTCTGCTTCAGCTTTCCTCATGTGTTTCCTAAATTACTGCTTGCAGGCACGAAATAACCGAAGTGCAGTGACCTCCTTTGGTTTGGCCGAGTGAACAAACTGGGCCCAGACTTTCAGAAAGGACGATCGACAGGCAGTGCTGCCGCGTTGTGCCAGGTACTACGGCAGAGACAGCAACGCGAGAGCATGGTGCTCGCCTCACCGTGACCCTCCTCCTGCCCGCTTCCTGGCGCTGACCTAGACACCTGCTTTAAAAATGTTAAGACCTGTTTTTCACTAGCCCAGAAATCCCACTTTACCCAGTGCTCATGTCATCCGTGCTTTTTCAGATACAGAAATCCAGTTCAACACTTAGCTGTCCTCTCCTATAAGAGGATACAGAATGTGATACGGAAATCCAGACAGAAGTTACTGGCATGGGTGTGGCATGTGCTAATCAGTGCTGTTCAAACGTTCAGGGTCCCTACCCTGTGTGTCTGCATGGTCACTGTAAGCTCTTCAGAACAGAAACCCTGTCCTGCACATCTTTCTAAACCAGCTATCACACCTCCACAATTCCACACAATCTTACCATGTCAAGTGCAGGAGCTACACAGATAAGGATGACAGGCTACCCTCTTTAGAGCTCATTTTCTGTGGATTTGCATGAAATGTCAGCTACTTACGACTGTATTCGTTACGGCATTTTGCAGAACACAGTACCTTCTCATCTGAGGGAGGGAGCGATAGCCATTTTTTAAATAAGCTAAAACCATGCAGAAGTACATATTTTCAATGGGTATATTTTCAAATGTTAATATAGTGTTCTTCCAAAATAGCCGTATAGTATGCTTTTGTTGAGTTGTAATTTTACTAAATCCTAAAGGTGTCTACTTACATGTCTATCATCTTGTAACTTTAAGTCCTACAATGAGTGACACTTAGTAATTAATTAAAAAGTAGAGCTCCCTACTCTAGTCCAAACTCTTGCATTGTTGAATTATTTCAGATAATATATGGATTTAGTGACCAACAAGAAGTTTCCCATTGGTTTCTTAGAAAATGATAACTGTTCTAACTGGAGCTCAATGCTTGAAAGAAATACTTTATAGCATGATTATAACATCTTGTGCCACCCTGAATATAATGATTCTAATGTGGAAGCAATTTATTTTAATCAACATGAAATCCATTGAATTTCAACATATGACTGAAGTGTAACAGAATGGCAAGTTACAGTATGCAATCTCTGCAATCAGATCTTTCTAAGAAAAATGACTTTTCCAAAATAGCATTTATGCAGTCTCCTGGCTGCTGTCCAGATTTGGCATACCTAAGTTGTTTTCATTTCATGAAGTTGAATTGCTTACAGATCAGATACCTCTTATGCCACAAACGCACAGCAAAATAACCTGTGATACAGCTGTGGACAACAGGTACCATCGACCTGAATCACCGATAAGTCTCTTCTTTTTTCTTAAAGATCTTCCTATTGAAAAGCAGTTTCTCATTTTTATGAAGATAACTATCAAGTCCATGGGTGTCAGCAGGACAAGAACTAAGTGGCATTCTTGTGCATTACCTATACCAACAAGTAATTTCAGAAACATTCCTTTTTAAAGCACCTTTCTTTTCTGCTCCCCACCTTTAAGCAGATGCTTTGAAACTAATGGGTTGACATGAATTCTCTACAAAGAACCTGAGCATCACATTTGCTTAACTCTAAGTGACTTTTCTTTAAACCTTCTTTATTAGGTTTCAAATGGTACTGTAGTTTTGTCTAAGTAGAACCAGTTGAAATTTCTCTGATTATACTTTTCCATTGCAGAAAGTGGATTTGTTAATATTATGGCTCATGATTGGTTACAGTATCAGCTCAGATGAGTAGTGGTTAGGGGAAGAATCCAATATTCCCTGAGTCTTATCCCAGTTTTGAGTCCCTTCTATGACTATACTGTCCAGCAAGCCAGGAAGTCTGTGTAGGCTTGTCTACTTGACTTGTGAATCCTGCAGACGCAGAACTGCTACAGCCACAAAAACTGAAATATTTTTTAAAAGATGTATTGCTATGAAATGTATGTTACAATGCAGAATGCCTCCACAGCGTATCTCAAGTTAATTAGCGTGGAAAGAAAAACAAGAGTATTTTAACACAGAACATTTTAATTAAGCTCTGGCTTTAGAGCTTTTTTCTGCCTTTAATCCTACAGCACTTATCTGGTGGTGGCATTCTCCTGAAGTTGGGGCTGAGGCCGTCAGGGGAAGTACTGGTGTTAGGTAGCATTTCCTTCCTAAGACACAGAAGTGCCATGCATGTGCTGCACTACCACAAACACGTCAATCCTATCGTAGCAAACCCTTCACTGTCCTGCAACAGTCTGAAACAGGCAAGTGTGACCACCTTTGTTAAACAGTCTAATAGCAATATGCTGACTGTCTCGTAAATAAAAGTTTTGTGAACTTTTATATGCAATCATAGGACAGGGGCTTTAGATATGAAAGGCTGCTAAGTTAAAAAAATCCTTAAGAATATGCTTTGTTCCATAAGGTGTTTTTCTTCCTAAATGAAACCCCAGTGTAGTTTCCTGTATAATTACCCT